TTTGTTGTCGAACTTGATCAGTGAAATGTTTCAAATGGTGAAAATCAAATCAAATGTTCGCAATGAATATCTGAAGTGCTTTGACAAAAAATCCATAATAAAAATGTCATCAGTGGAAGCCGTGGCGCTGTAAAAAGCACGACCAATCATGTGAGCCGGCTAAAGTAACTGGATGGCCTACCTGCCTGTCAGCCTTCCATCTGGGCACACACTCATCTCATGCCCTCATTGGTCATGTTCTGTAAGGAAGCACTCGAGCTGGTTTCTCCAAAAATGACCTACCCCACCTTTAATGTCAATCTTACTCAGTTTGTGTTTACTGACAAAATAGCTGGTTTTGCTTTTAGTCTGAAACCACAAAGAATTCCGTTTGAAGTTAAATAGTGGTGCAAGAATAAGTCCTAAACCCAGAAATGAGTTAGCATCTTAGCGCTAGCTGGTTTCTTTGTCTAAAAGTCAATGTTTTTCTGGATGGGTTTGGTAAGGCCTGGAATAAGGTCTGTGGTTAACACGAGCAGAAGAGATTTGAATGTTTTGTTGTGCAACATAAAATCCGTCAGTATATACATCACTAGTGAGAAGGGATGCCAGCGATTATTCGATTATTCGAATATTCGTTACAGTCTCCATAATCGAAAATTATTTTTATAATTCGATTTTATATATTTTTTAATTATTATTTATGTTCTTTTTTTTTTTCTGGCTTAGTTTCAACCAAAATATAGACTAATGCTAATAATAGTAATAGTATTAATAATTGTAAATGGCCATTGGTCACACCACCAGTTTGTTTTACTGTAAACCTGGAGGAAGCCGGCTGCGCAGAGCAGACTGCTGCACTCTACCGCCAATCTAATTTTTTTTCGCAATATACCAAAATCTAACGGAAAAAATCCCACTTTTTGTCGAGTGAGCCTTGCAATGCTAACTTCCTGGTCTGCCTATAAACACACACCATCACTCTTTAATTAATGTAATGTTTTACCACTAAAAGGAAATAACTATTTAATGCAGATTAGCTTTGATTGTGAAGAATCTGTAACTATCGGATACGGCCATGCACCCTGCTTTATTGTTCAGTGTGTATAGAGTCTCTATAGACCATATGTCAATTTTAACTACATTTCCCAGAGTGATGAAGATGAGAGAGGCCTTTTTTCTGCCAGTCAGCAGGATCCTCAGCTCAGGCTGACAGCAGCTGTAAGTCGTGTCTGACCACAGGCTGATCTGAAAGAGCCTTTTCTGCTCCACGAGAGCCTCCACTTCACTGCAATGAATAGCTGTCCAGCTGCACATAGTTTATGTGGGTGTGTGAGAGTGTGTGTGTGAGAGAGAGAGAGAGAGAGAGAGTGTGTTAATTTGAGAGCATGAGGCTTGGATTCATCCGAGTGGGGTCTTTGTCCAAAACCTATCCTCATTTGGGTGTCCTTGGGAATTAAGATGACAATTAACACTTCCACCAAAATATGACGTCTAATTTCTGCCATTGAAAAAGATACAACATTTAAAAAGTGGGAAGTATTCTGATGGATGGATTTGATCATATTTGATGGTTAACATGTATTAGTATTGGTAGCCACATATCATGTTTTGTTAAGTAGCAAAAAAAGTTGGATTCTGATATAAATAAATGATGAAATTGCTGAATTATTTGATTTTTTTTGGCATATATTATTAATTAAGTGCAGAAAATGCCCTTGGCTGTTATATTAAAGGGTTTAAAATAGATTTTTCATTTTATAGCAGCTTCAATCTCAGAGAAAACTAATATATGTTCTTGTAAATATTAACCTGAGATACCACCAGCATCCCCTGGCTACCTTAGATATATTGTTCTACCTATAATGGCCCCAATAAATGTTGTTCAAAGACAATTGTCTATCACAGGGGGTCCGCGGGTCTTAAAAAGAATTAAAAGTTGATCAATCAATTTAGCGAAAATGAAGGCTATTAAAAAGTATCAAACGGCATTTTCCAAGGATATGACATTTTGTAGCTTGTTTTCAATAAGTATATGAATGGTCCAAAGAGGTTGTATTCTACAGTCTGCCTGAATGTAATCATTGCGTAGGTGTGTAGTGTGATTCTGTGTAGTTTATTGATGGCATCCCGTTGGGTTTGACGTCATCTGAACAGGACATCGCACGCTCACTGCTTGATAGCGAGCGAAGGTCCGTTTACGCCGGTTGCTAAACAACATCGTTATGGGGAAATGCAAGTCTGCGTCCAAATGGTTGGAAGATAAGGAGGAAGGACAATCAATACTGTATATAGTCAATGTGAGGTAAAGTGTGTCGCCAAGGTAACCGGTTAAACCTCCAAGTGGCCATGAGGTCTTAAAATGTATGGGAAGGGTCTTAAAAAAGGTCTTACATTTGACTTCAGGATTCCTGCATATACCCTGTATCAGTTTATCTTACTACAGTTCAAAGAGGCGTTGAACTTACAGCCAAATGATGGAGGGGAAGGTCACCTGTAGCCATTGGCAGAAATGATGGTGCATTTTGGCAGGCCACCAAAAGTCAGTCCCACTTTATTATTGATGCACTTCCTTTTTCTTTTTGGCTGCCAATTTGTGTCTGTTATGATAACTCTACTACAGAATGGGCTACACACTGAATGCACAAGCAACCATACAAACATATAGACTGATTTGATCCTATTATGTCATATTTAGAAGGTAAACACGAGTGACTTTTGTCCAGATGGACTGTACACCCTGAACTTTACTCTGAGCTGCTAATCTCTCCAAACAGATCATTACTTAGATCCTCCTTAGTCTCCTAATCCTCCGTTTTCCCCCTTCAAGCTCCGATTTCTGAGGCTAATCGGTCACGTCGTTACCTGAATCCACTTTAACATGACCCGTATAATGCATAAACACATAATCAAACTCTTAATCTATCTGCGACAGAATTTCAGTCTGAAAAACTCTTATTTGTGTTGTTATATTGTAATGAAAAACGTTTCTCGGATAATCAAACAAGGTCAAAGCTGCACATTTCATCCGTCACTTTTGTAATCAGTTTTTTTTCTCAGAGAGATGTTTGTGAAATGGAAAACACAAATTGAAAACAGATGGCAGAGGAAGACTCTGACACTGTTGTATTGCTTCATTCTGCAAACATATCACAATACAGCTCATGTGTCAACTTTGTAACACATTAGTTTCCACACGAAAGAAAGGAAATTATATCTTTAATACTTCTCTGCATATTTAAAGTACATTATGACTTCCATTCCATTTTATAATCACTAACTAATGAGACTTGCGTTTACTGAGTTACATTTTGTTGAGCAGGATATTCTGCACATATTAACACCTCTTTAATAATATTTGAAGTGTAATTGCAATCTCCGGAAGTAAAACGCTAACGTTGGGCTATAAAGGAACTACATCACGGTCACATGACTTCACGTCACCACCGCTAAGCTAAAGGCGGCTAATGTTGGGCTATAAAGGAACTACAGCACGGTCACATGACTTCACGTTACCACCGCTAAGCTAAAGGAGGCTAATGTTGGGCTATAAAGAACTACAGCACGGTCACATGACTTCACGTCACCACCGCTAAGCTAAAGGTGGCTAATGTTGGGCTATAAAGGAACTACAGCACGGTCACATGGCTTCATGTCACCACCGCTAAGCTAAAGGTGGCTAATGTTGGGCTATAAAGGAACTACAGCACGGTCACATGACTTCACGTCACCACCGCTAAGCTAAAGGTGGCTAATGTTGGGCTATAAAGGAACTACAGCACGGTCACATGACTTCACGTCACCACCGCTAAGCTAAAGGTGGCTAATGTTGGGCTATAAAGGAACTACAGCACGGTCACATGGCTTCATGTCACCACCGCTAAGCTAAAGGTGGCTAATGTTGGGCTATAAGGAACTACAGCACGGTCACATGACTTCACGTCACCACCGCTAAGCTAAGGTGGCTAATGTTGGGCTATAAAGGAACTACAGCACGGTCACATGACTTCACTTCACCACCGCTAAGCGAAAGGAGGCTAATGCTGGACTATAAAGGAACTACAGCACGGTCACATGACTTCACGCCACCACCGCTAAGCTAAAGGTGGCTAATGTTGGGCTATAAAGGAACTACAGCACGGTCACATGGCTTCATGTCACCACCGCTAAGCTAAAGGTGGCTAATGTTGGGCTATAAAGGAACTACAGCACGGTCACATGACTTCACTTCACCACCGCTAAGCTAAAGGAGGCTAATGCTCGGCGTGATGACGATTAGTCTTATTAAGACAATTGTTAGCACCCGCCATTTTTAGACCATATAAAAGCTTCAGACCTTCACAAGTGGTGTATTTACTGAAGTATTTTATGTAGAAGAAAACCTATATTAACCTTCAACCTTATTTCAAGCATCTAACCAAAACCCATTCCCAAAACCATTTACTTTGAGTTGGCGTGATTGCTAAAATGCTATCTAATTTCAGGGTTTAGTACTCATTCCTGCACCAATATATTTGAACTCTAATAGCCATTTAAACACCATCTAGATGACGTTTTTCTTTCTAAAAGTTGCATTTGCCAAGTAAGAGTTGTTAATTGCTTGTGAAGAGTTAATGGTGTATTATATCTGGTAGTTAAGCTCCATTTCCCTCCTGGTTTTTGTCCCCACGGTGTATCTTCAGTGCGTAGTTGGGCTTACCCTGCTCCCCTGGTGTTGTGCTTTTTCACTTCTGAGCAGCAGGGCACTCTGGGAAATGCCAAAGCCTGCATGTGGATGCGTTGTTTCAGCAGGAAACGTTTCATGTCGTGAAAACACAAATGTCACTGAGTCTTTTTGATGTTTTTCTCGCAGTCTAACGCTTGTCTGATGTTTCTCCTGTAACCTAGTTTTATAATGAAATGCAGCATTTGATTCTACAAATATATTTTCTGAAACACCCTCTTTTGTTGTAGCTGAGAGATATTGTAATGTCTGAAAGTGATTTCTAACCCATCTGTCTCTCTTTGTGTCTCCTTCACAGTAAGCATGTTTCTCAACACCCTGACACCCAAGTTCTACGTGGCTCTGACGGGCACTTCCTCCCTCATATCAGGACTCATATTGGTAAGAAATATTCATTTACTGTCTCTATATAATAAGACTAGGGCTGTCAAGTTAACGCAAAAAAAAATTAACGCCACTAATTATTTTAACGCGATTAACGCATGTGTATTTTTTGTCCTCGGCCACCCCGTAGTTTCAGAGCGCATCGAGTTTAAAATACCATCTAGAAGCTGATGCTGACAGCCCCGCTCCTGCCGCCCGCTTGTGGCAGACCACACTTCCACGCTCACCGGCAGGCACCGACTGGCTGTTGGGAGGACCGGGAGGGTGTGTGTATGTGTGGCACGAGCGAGAGAGAGAGAGAGAGAGAGAGAACGTGCACACCTTACGTACTTGTTGTTGTTAGCATCTGGTGCTAGCTAGCTGCGCTAACGGATATAAGGAGCTGTTTCAATGAAAACAGAGGAGCGACATTTCGCTGAGAACTGCGCCGAGCACTTGACTTTATGCAGGAAGCCAGACAGTGGGACATTGTACGAACAGTCAGCACACTCAGCACGGATAGTGCGCAACATGATTGCAGCGTCCAGGCAGCTCCGGTTCGAGCATATGCCTTGAGTTGCACATAGCTCCAACGATCCATCACTCACACACTCTCTCTCTCACACACACACACACACACACACACACACACACACACACACACACACACACACACACACACACACACACACTCACACTCACACTCACACTCACACTCACACTCACTCACACACACACACTGTATTGTATGAGAGAGGTTCCAGGTTGAATTGAGGCGGATATTTTTAATGTTCAGAGGTTGTTATGTTTAATATTCATGAGAATATTTGTCATTGATAAAATGATAATAAACAAACATTTGCATAAAGCATATTTGTCCACTCATATATGAGTATTAAAAACTTAAAATATCCCTCTAAGGTACATTTAGAACAGATAAAAAATGTGCGATTAACTATTTTAATCGACTGACAGCCCTAAATAATACTGAACACAGTTTTGAAATGTGCAATGATGCTTCTGAAATTCTTGGTAGCAGTGCTGTTTTTCAAATTACAAATTGATGTTTTCTCACCAAGAATAGATATTACTTGTTGAAAACAATTGTTCTTTGATGCAAATAACATTACTTAAATGCAGTGAGTGTGAAGACTGCACAAGATTCAAGGCTCTATTGTTCACATGACAATAAAGCCTTGAATCTTGAATTGAATTATTAACAATTAATTGAATTAATATCCGAATCACAGTAAGCACAATATTTAATAACGCTCCAAAGCATTGTACGTGATAGGCTAAGGGGGCGGGACATATCTAAGTGGTTGACCAATCGCAACAGAGCCGGCCAGCTAACCAATCAGAGCAGCTCTGGTTTCAGACAGAGGGTGAAAAGAGGTGCTGCAGCACAGGCAGTATGAGAAAAATTAAGAGCTTTTTGAACATTGAAAGCATGGAGACATGTCACAGTAGAGGGAACAAAATATTCAAATATGAACTTGAAAATGATCGTAATAGGGCCCTTTGGTACTGCAGAGAATTTGCAGCATACAAATGGCAATATAATCACACTATAATAATTTTATTTTTCAATGACAATGTGAATAATATTATCTTTGCCCTCGCAAATCATATCGCAATTGCAATATTAGTCGAAATCCTCACAATTAATCATTATTTCAGCCTCAGTGAGTGAGACTCCTCACCTTCAGCGCTGAACCTCCTGATGTGAGACCCACTGCACGTCGTTCTGGAGCGTCAGCTAAATGTAAAATTCACACTTCAAAGGTTGATGACTGTGCACTCTTACTTGACATTCTCATTCATAATGTTACAAAGACCACATTCATTCTCAGAGTTGGCTCCCCGGCTGACTTTATGAGCCCGGGATGTCATTTGTTAGGACTATAATCACAGGATCAGAGGCCACCAGGAGCTGAAGAGAGAGGAAATCTATACTCATTTGGTCCTTCATAAGATGAGCTGCCAAAAAAAACCTCTTTATCCTCCTGACGAATCACACCGTGCAACACACCAAACTACTGAGGACATGTCAGGGTGTTTTTGTGTGAGATGTGGAGGGAGACAACAGTGTGAGGCCAAGGATAATATTTGCCCAACTATCATACTTGGTTTAAACACCCCCAGAGGACATTCTTATGTTTATCATTACATCACATGTTACTTGTTAGACGCTTTTATCCAAAGCGACTTACATACTCAGTACTGTGGGCAATCCCCACAGGAGCAATTTGGGGTGAAGTGACTCAGGGACACAACGACATGCTGACTGCAGTGGGGTTTGAACCTGTGACCCCCTCACAACAATGATATGCACCTACTGACCAACAATAACCCACGCATAGGAGCTAAACGTTTGTTTATAGCAGGTGCTAATAAAAAACGATACAACTTTTTTGAATGCTGTTATTTCTATTTTGAGATGTTACATTTTAGAATTGTTTATTTCTACCCTTTACATTTCTCTTATGTGCAATGCCTTTTCTTTTATGCTGCTGCAACGCAAACATTTCCCAAATTGGGATCAATAAAGTACACCTTATATTATTATCTTAATACTTATTTGGATCCCTAAGTTTATCCCGTAATTCTGGCGTGGATGTTAACCATTAATTGCATGGCAGTGAAAAGGTAAAGAGAAACTGGGACATGCTACATGCTACACTGCCTGGAGACCCTTGGACCTCACATCCAATAGTTATTCTAGATTGTACAAAGCAAATGCGCTCACAAAGTTTATGACAACAAGCGTGAACAAACAACTACATCTAAATCATAGTCACCACATCAAATATCTGTGGATTGACTTACACTGTAGCTGTATGCTAAACGATGCTAATGCAGACTTTGGAAAGCATGCATATGAGACGTTTAGGGAACATCTGTAAATTGTAGCGTCTGCTGATAGTCTGTATATGTACAGGGGGTCCGCGGGGTCTTAAAAAGTATTGAAAGTTGATAAATCAATTTAGCGAAAATGAAGGCTATTAAAAAGTATTAAACGGCATTTTCCAAGGTATGACATGTTGTAGCTTGTTTCAATAAGTATCTAAATGGTCCAAAGAGGTTGTATTCTACAGTCTGCCTGAATGTAATCATGGCGTAGGTGTGTAGTGTGATTCTGTGTAGTTTATTGATGGCATCCCGTTGGGTTTGACGTCATCTGAACAGGACATCGCACGCTCACTGCTTGATAGCGCGAAGGTCCGTTTACGCCGGTTGCTAAGCAACATCGTTATGGGGAAATGCAAGTCTGCGTTCAAATGGTTGGAAGATAAGGAGGAAGGACAATCAATACTGTATATAGTCAATGTGAGGTAAAGTGTGTCGCCAAGGTAACCGGTTAAAACTCCAAGTCGTGTCTGACCACAGGCTGATCTGAAAGAGCCTTTTCTGCTCCACGAGAGGCTCCACTTCACTGCAATGAATAGCTGTCCAGCTGCACATAGTTTATGTGTGTGTGTGTGTGTGTGTGTGAGAGTGTGTGTGTGAGAGAGAGAGAGAGAGAGAGAGAGAGAGAGAGTGTGTTAATTTGAGAGCATGAGGCTTGGATTCATCCGAGTGGGGTCTTTGTCCAAAACCTATCCTCATTTGGGTGTCCTTGGGAATTAAGATGACAATTAACACTTCCCCCAAAATATGATGTCTAATTTCTGCCATTGAAAAAGATACAACATTTAAAAAGTGGGAAGTATTCTGATGGATGGATTTGATCATATTTGATGGTTAACATGTATTAGTATTGGTAGCCACATATCATGTTTTGTTAAGTAGCAAAAAAAGTTGGATTCTGATATAAATAAATGATGAAATTGCTGAATTATTTGATTTTTTTTGCATATATTATTAATTAAGTGCAAAAAATGCCCTTGGTTGTTATATTAAAGGGTTTAAAATAGATTTTTCATTTTATAGCAGCTTCAATCTCAGAGAAAACTAATATATGTTCTCGTAAATATTAACCTGAGATACCACCAGCATCCCCTGGCTACCTTAGATATATTGTTCTACCTATAATGGCCCCAATAAATGTTGTTCAAAGACAATTGTCTATCACAGGGGGTCCGCGGGTCTTAAAAAGTATTAAAAGTTGATCAATCAATTTAGCGAAAATTAAGGCATTTTCCAAGGTATTACATTTTGTAGCTTGTTTTCAATAAGTATATGAATTGTCCAAAGAGGTTGTATTCTACAGTGTGCCTGAATGTAATCATTGCGTAGGTGTGTAGTGTGATTCTGTGTAGTTTATTGATGGCATCCCGTTGGGTTTGACGTCATCTGAACAGGACATCGCACGCTCACTGCTTGATAGCGTGAAGGCCCGTTTACGCCGGTTGCTAAGCAACATCGTTATGGGGAAATGCAAGTATGCGTCCAAATGGTTGGAAGATAAGGAGGAAGGACAATCAATACTGCATATAGTCAATGTGAGGTAAAGTGTGTCGCCAAGGTAACCGGTTAAAACTGGCGATGAGGTCTTAAAATGTATGGAGAGGGTCTTAAAAAAGGTCTTAAAAGGAATTACATTTGACTTCAGGATTCATGCATATACCCTGATGTAGTGCAAGTGTATACTAGGGCTGGACCCGAATATTCGTTCGTTGGAGTACTATTCGGGTTTCAATTTCGTTATTCGGATATTCGTTTTGTTTGTTTTTTCCCCGTTTCTTTTTCAAATTGAATTTATTGAAATCTCCAATATCAACGTAAGAGCTTGTGCCTCTTCGGGGGTGCTAACACTTAACCATAAACGTTATCGTTTACTTTCTCTGTCTTTTATATGTAGATATGACTTTTCTCCGTTAATCTCCGTCACGTTGTTTCCATAGCAACAACAACTTCCTGTCAACTGCGCTTACTCTCCTTCAAAATAAAAGCATGTCCATAAATAGGAAGCCAAGCCAAATTACACTTAAGACATACAACTGCAACGAAAGTCACAAACACAATGCGATATCCTTTTCAACTTCAAAGAACACAAATTGGGTTACATTAACAAATAACTATAAAACAACAATACTGTAGAATAACAAAATGAATGCCGTGAATAAACCGAAATACACGTGTTGAAGTGGTTCGCTGCTGATTACTTCCCCCCCCCCCCCCCCCCCCCCCCCACCGCGTGGGCCGAATATTCGCTGCTGATTACTACCGAAATATCCGGAGCCCGAAAAATGGTATTCGGGACAGCCCTAGTTTATACATCAGCGTTTAAAAATAAAAACAATCAAAAGAGATGTGACAAATATCATCAAAGCAGTATCCGTTAGCGAGGCGTTTTATCTCTCGCAACAGTCTGTATTTTAAAATAGATCCTCTCTTAATTAACTCACTCTCTCTTCCCCGCGGGCAGCTAGCCAGTGTGCGCTAAGAGGCAGCTTAGAGAAGGTGTGCACGTGCTCTGTGAGGTGATTGAGAAATGTGGAAACCTGTAGGATACGTATGAGCGACACTGGTTATTTAAAAAAGATGCTTATTTACCGAATTAGGCGGATTTCCTCTGAAGAGTTCGAGATGATCTAATATCACTCACTGACAGTCAAACAGCTTATCCTCATGGCAGTCTGTACACTGGAGCTCTCATCAGTATTCTGGATGTTTTCACACATTCAGTCATTACAACTTTTACCATTTAATGATTCTTATATAAGTACATTTTCAAAGTGCTTAGAGCAACATTCAAGCTTAATATTGATAGTCACGTTTTCGTCTATTTGTCTCTGAACAGATCAACCATAGTTAGAATTAGAAGAATTAGGAGGGAGGAAACGCTCTGTAATGGTCACACAGTGAAATGCGTGGGGGAAGGGGGGTGTCCGGTGCCTTTCTCAAGGGCACCACGGCAGGGCAGGAGGTGAACTGGGACCTCTCCAAGTAGCAGTCCACACTCCATATTTTAGGTCTGGTCGGGGACTTGAACCGGTGACCCTACGGCTCACAGCCCAAGCCCCTACTGACTGAGCCACTTCTGGACTAGCAACCTTCACATAATGGTACATCCGACTTCATCAGGACGATTTGTGGCATTTTTAAGATAATCCACCGATTCCTGTGCTCACAAAGCACATGATTTACTTATTACCGTATCACACTGAGCCAACAGGAAGGTGCAGAACTCCTTAAGCCAACACACAATGAGGACAATACAAGTGTTTCATAGATATTAAAACAAGTTAACAAATGTGTGTCCTATTTGCAAAACATTACACCCAAAATGATGAAAATAGGCACCACTAATCAGACGGCCTGCTTAATAAATATCAGCATCTCCAATTCAGTCAACCACTGCTTTACATATTGTTAAATGGTTGTATCATGAGTGCTGTGTCAGGGCTGATGTGGTTGTAGGAGCCAAAATGCTTATTTAGCCTGAGGCAATTGTCGTCATTATTGTTGTTATTTTAGATCGCACACATTTGTATTTAATTAAGTAATTAGTACGACACAGAGACTTTCTGTTGACCGTTTGGTCCTCTTTAAGTTATTGTTTGAGTTATTAAACATCGTCTAACGAGCTAAAACTTCAGTACGGACTCATTCAATTGAAACGTGTCAAAGTGATGAGTCTACCTTCGCCTTTAGTGACTGTTCATCGGGAGTTTAGTCATGCTTAAGCAGAAAGTGAAATGCATCATGCAGGCGAAACGTCACACACTGCAGGTGTGTGTGGTCCTCAGACGTCTGCCATCATGACCCTGAAGTCTGCAGACTCTCAGGTTCACTGATGTCCCTTTCACACCAACGCGGTTCCAGGGCCGGTTCGGAGCTGGAGTTTGAAAAGCACTGTTTTTTCCTGTTCACACCGCAGCGGAGCCGCCTCTAAGCTCCGGAATCCGGTTCATTTCAAGCACCAAAAAGTTTGTCGGTCTAGAAAGCAAGCACCGCATACGTCACGCTTACGTTGGAAGATCTGGGCTGTGTCCAAATAACACGCGACGTCCGCCTTTCCGCCAGCTTCAACATGATGGGTATTTTGAGCTTGGCGCATCGAATAGGACGTATATTTACCTTCTTTCTTCTACGGAATCGTCGTTGAAGTTGATGATTGGAAAGAACTTTTGAATGTAACGACTGTAAAGTTGGTAGTAATGTCGTCCCATTTCGTTTCGACAGAGCAAAACCAAAACGAGTAGCGCTTCAATACAATCGGCCATTGTTGTTGTTGTCGATGTAAGGGGTTTCCGCGTGGTTTGGCTTTATGAAGCAGGCACGCAAACGGTTACGTCATGACGCAAACGATGACGCAGCACCAGTCGGGCTCTGAGCGGTGTGAACAGAGCGGGAGCTGAACCGAAGAACCAGAAAAGGGGCTGATTTTATCTTTATGTTCTTATAAATAAGCTCTATTTCTCTATTTTGATCCTTTTTTAAGCAGCCTAGAAGCTTATGAACATTACAAGTAAATAAAAAGTCCCATTGTTAGCTGATAAGATTTATATCTGAAATATCTTCTACCCAATCATTGTCTTTTTTTTCTGTATTTGAAGACTTGGATTAAGTGTTTCTTCATGTTTTAAGTTATAAGTTAACACTGCTGTGTTTGGTAGACTTAAAGGTCCCATGTCATGCTTTTCCGGTTATCACCCGTCCCCTTGTGTGTTATGAAGGTTTTTCTGCATGTGAACGGTCTGCAGAGTCACAAACCCTCAAAGTACACCCTGTAGCGAGTAAAACTCTAACACAGAAAATACCTGTCTATGCTGCCCCAGAACGCCTCGTTGGAGATTTCTCATTTTCCATTGTTTACTTCTTGGGTATAGTGACGTATTTCGGGTATAGTGACGTAACGGTTCCGCAGATTGGTCCGTTACGTTACGTCCGCATAGCCGTTACGTTTGGACCAATCCGCGGACTTCCTCACACACACACACACTCGGCGGGACGTTGCGAGGCTCGCTGCTGCGAGGAGCGGGACTCTGTGAGCCGGCTCACTGGTGTGGGGTCAGCGAGACACCGCGGAACTCAGCCTGGGTACGCACACAAACTCCCAGCCAGGCTGCGGGTGTGTGTGTGTTTCAGGCTGGGTATCGCTGTCTTGCAGACGGCCACTGGGCTCACAGGGAGGGGGGGGTGGGGCCGGAGCTCCAACAAGCCGTTTAGGACAGAGAGTGAATACTCATACTATACAGAGATGCTGTATGAGAAACCAATGTTAGTTTGCAAAATTGCACAATATAAATCTATTCTAGTAGACCTCAACAATGGAATTATGATCAGTAGAAATGGCCATGACATGGGACCTTTAAATGACTGGTCAAAAAGGATATGTCTTTATTTTTTAGCTATACTCAAACAAGTAACAATGTGGAATGAAAGTCATATAAACGGTTACACTAAATACCATCTCTCTTTCTCTCTGTTTGTATTTCAGATATTTGAGTGGTGGTATTTCAGGAAGTATGGGACGTCCTTCATAGAGCAGGTGTCTGTGAGCCACCTGCGCCCCCTGCTGGGCGGAGTGGACAGCAGCACCCCCAGCACCTCCAACACCAGTAACGGAGAGGCGGACTCCAATCGACAGAGTGTGTCCGGTAAGAGAAGACTATCCACTGCAGACACACGAGCACCTCGTATATCGACATGCAGAACCAGAACACAGAGCGAGACAGGACCTGATAATAACAGCTCTGTGAAGCTGGGGTACTTTCTCTGAAAATTATTATATACGCCATTTTGTCTTATACCAGCAAGTCGAGGAGCAGTTCAACTCTGAGAGAGGCAGATTTTATTTCAGCGTTTGGTCGTTTTCAGAACAGGTTACTTTGTGATATATGCAGGAGATTAGGAGTGAGAAATCGATCGGCAGAGAGTGAATATCGGCCGATTGATCGGAGCATCCCTAGTTTTTATTTGACTGTCCTGTCTACGAAGACATAGTAAAAGCCTTACAAAAAACCCTCCATACATTTCTTTTTTAAATACTAATTAAAAATACTATTAATATAAAGAAACTCTAAAGTGGGCTTCAGGAAGGACCCTTTGTTTGTAGAAGATGTTATTCTGAAGTTTAGGAAAGAAAAGGCAGAATATTTAGTTTAATAATCTGTGATTTTGTATTGAAGCAAAACATTTGACTACTGACACTAAAGTGTTGATGTCTTACCTATGAAGGTTTGTGCCGTCAGTAGGGGCTTGGACTGTGAGCCGTAGGGTCGCCGGTTCAAGTCCCCGACCAGGCCTAAATATGGAGTGTGGACTGCTACTTGGAGAGGCCCCAGTTCACCTCCTGCCCTGCCGTGGTGCCCTTGAGCAAGGCACCGGACATCCCCCTCACTCCCATTGCTCCCCGGGCGCTGTACAATAGCTGCCAACTGCTCCTAGTGCTAGACTCCTGGTTCTAGGATGGGTTAAAAGCAGAGAACACATGCCACTGTGTGCTCTGCATGTGAGACCATTACAGAGGGGTCCATCCCTCCCATTCCATTCTATTCTATTATTGGAAAAGTGTGATACTAAAAATAAAGAGTAAAATCATCTATTAGATCAAGAAGAGTTTTGTACCGTGTAAAAAGTGTTATTGCTGCCGTTAAACTTGGTCCTTTGTTTACTGTTCTCAAATGAAAACACCAAATAATCCGCCAAACCCAAAAGAACAAATACATTAAATGTTATGACAGTCGTAATGATCTTTTCTATCTGACTACAGCCAGGGTTAGCAGTGAAACACTTCAGTTCGCTTCTGCTGTGTTTCCTTCAGAAAGCTGAACAGCCAGACTTTTTCAGCTGCAGAGCAAACCCCAGTGGTCTGCTGCAGGCGCTCAGAACAGCATTGATTGAAATGCTCGGGGAGAGGCGTTCACATCTTGTTTTACTCATAGTTACTATTAAATTCATGTTGCTGCTCGAGCACTATTCCGACTCAGAAGCAATACACGTCGTGCTGTTTTATTTGAGATACATCTAGATGAGTTTTGTTTAAACGTGTCGCCTCCAGCTGTGAATCGTCATCATTATATATCCATATGTTAGTTGCAGCTTGAGGAAATGTCTCCAGATGACTCATCTCTCTCTCCCTGCTGCTTCACACATTAAAACGTATGAAACATCATAAACACTGCACTTGTAACTAAATGAACTCGTGTTTGCAGCTTGTTTTGCCATAAACCGAGTGCACGTGTTCCAAAAACTGCTTTTAAATAGAGCTTGTCAATTATTTTAAGCGGATAACTTTTTAATTAGGGTTTTTTGATCAACAAAATTAGATAAACCAAATATTTGATGATAACGGTTTGATTATTTATCATATTACATATCTGAACTGATGTAGGTATTCTCCATCTATTAAAAGTAAGTGAATGTAAAGAGACGAAAACTGAGAAAGAAACATGGCTTAGCAAAACAGGAGGAGCCATTCGTGTACCAACACGTATTATATAGAGCCAAAATTGTAGTTAAATGAAAAGTCTTAATCACATATAACCCTCATGTGATCAGGCTAGTCTCTCCAGGGGCCTGTTCTACGAAGCTGGCTCAACCTAACCTGGATATGTTTGAGTTAGCCGGTTGGCCTAATCCAAAACATACACGCTCTCGCTAAACGGTCCTACGACGCTGGTTATCAAGTGGATCGCTCAAGCCAGCCGTGTCCTATCTAGTTAGGTGCGCGTTCACATGAAAGGGGTGGTATCTGGAGCATTCGACCAATATAGCAGTGTGTGTGTGTAGCAGTGTGTGTTCTCTCTGAGGAGTTTTCAGACCTGTTTCCTGTCAGATATGCTCTCAGGAGGCTCCGTGTGGACTCTACCCCTGACACTCTCTCTCTCTCTCTCTCTCTCTCTCTCTCTCTCTCTCTCTCTCTCTCTCTCTCTCTCTCTCCTGCAGAATGTAAAGTATGGAGAAATCCGCTGAATTTATTTCGT